CCTAAACCCTAAACTAAGCCCTAAGCCCTGCTATCGGGCAGCAACTCTGCTTGTAAGCATGCGGACCACCCACCCGCCAGGCACTCTCATCCTCCAAGCAAACCCTATATTGTAGGGGCCTTAATAATTGGAATGGGGTTTTGGGGCCCATTATACGCTAGATATAATAAGGAACCCCCAAAAGAGTATTGGTAAGTATTTCGGCCCGTACATTAAGCTCAACATGTGCAGCACGTGCAACTCAACCAGACTTAGCCCTAAGGGCCCATGTGCCCTGGGTTTAGGGGTTAGGTTCAGGGTTTAGGGGTTTTGGGTTCAGGGTTTAGGGGTTTGGGGTTCAGGGTTTAGGGTTTCGGGGTTTAGGGTTTAGGGGTTTAGGCTTTGGGCTTTAGGGTTCACGGTTTGGGGGTTTAGGGTTTAGGGGTTTAGGACTTCGTAGGGATAGGGCTCCAAAATCCGAAAATCGAAGCCGAATGCCCCAAGCTACAATCGAACCCTGCCATACAACGGGCCTGAGAATAAGAAGAGCGTTTTAGAACGATTTCCACCACAACTGCATGGGGACAAAAAGTACAGCTAGAAATACGGAGTATTATCGGTATTATCCCCTTGCAGTATCCTTGAGTCGAATCAGGCCATAGAATGCAACCCCTTAAACCCTAAACTCTTAAACCCTGAGGAGTCTGAACGACTAGAACAAGGTCTTCTAGGGTTTATAAGGGGCTGCAGGGCTTCTTTCGCTCAATCCTAAACCCAAAACCTGTGCCCTAAACCCCAATACAGAGACTGATGAGCCGGAGACCTGGACGAAGATGACGGCGTCGGTGCATCTGCAAAGGAACCTGCCAAATAGCAAGCTGAACGCCCGGGGTGTAGGGTTTAGGCCGCAACCCTGGGTTAGGGTATACGGTTTGTGGTTCAGGGTTTACGGTTCAGATGATTGGGAAGATCCATCACGCACAGTACAACCGATGCAAGTTCTAAACCTTTTCTGGCCTGAATCAGAAGCCTCGAATTCCCCTCCCATGCAACTATCCTTCCCCATGGCAAGAGAGCCTCGCTCCTCTATCCTAGACCTCTAGCACTAGCGAGCGGATGAGGGGACTCAGTGATAAAGGCCGGCATATACTGAGACTAAAGCCCTAAACCGACTTGGGAATTTGGGAGGGTGCGGAGGTTTGTGGCTTCAAGCCCTAAACCCCTAAACCGTTCAAAACTCTCTGCTCTATCCCTGAACCTGCAACATCTGCCCTGAAAAGCAAGCAGTGTGCCCTGGACAGAACATACCTCTCCTAATCTCCTAACCGCAACCCTAAACTCTAAAGTTTAGGGTTTAGGGTTTAGGGAGTCTAAACCCCTAAACCCTCAACCCTCAGCCTTAAACCCTAAACCCCTAAACTCTCTGCCCCAATTCGGTTCTGAGCCTGGCTCAGTCTCCTTGGCTGGCTGCGGCTGGAGCTTCTTTGTGCTCTCCGCGGCGCTTACCTGGTCCCCCCCGGATGCTTCTGTCGATGATGATGGTGATGATGATGATGTTGCTGTTGTTGTGGTTGTCGTCGTTAGTAATGCTGCTGGTGTTAGTTAAGTTTGGGTGCTGGTGTTGGTGTTCAGATTAGTGTTGATGCTGCTGTCCAATCCGTGGTTGTCGTTGTTGTTGCTGCCCTTTGCAAGTGCGGCAGAACCGCGTCGCACAGAAGAGATGGTGGTCATGACATTGCCGTGGCAGTGCTGATCATGATTGCAGAGCCATGCTCCTGACCACTCGTTCGGCTCGAGGAGGGCTGACCGGCTTTCAACACCTCGAGCTGCCTGAACCCCACTGCGCTGTTTACGCTTTGTGGTGCAAGGCGGTGTGGGCTGAGGGCCACCTGTGGGAATTGCTGTACAGGGAGGGGACTAGTAGCCGTTGGGGTCCAGGATTGATGTGGCGGCCCCGTTAATAACGTGGGCCTCATTAATGCGTTTTTTTTTGCTTATTCAAGCCGAGACCAAAAAAAACGACCGGCTCAAATCATGCGTTGTTTTTTCGGGGAGTGGGCTTTTTTGGGTGGGCATCAGCATGTCTGCTGATGGTCAATCTTAAGGCAGCCACG